TAAACTGATGAATGAATAATGAAAGGATGGTATATTTACACAATGGAATATTATTCGTCTTTTTAGAAAAATGAAATTCAGCACTCGGGAGGCAGAGGCAGGCGGATCTCTGTGAGTTCAAGACCTGCCTGGTCTACATAGTGAGTTCCAGGACAGCTGGGGCTATTGGGAGATCCCCTGTCTTAAAAACAAAACAAAACAAATCAGCAGTCCTGTACTCTATCTAATCTTCTCTATCCTCTAATTCTACTTTCCAAAGGCAAAAACTTTCAAGTACTTTCAACTTTTTCTCTAGCATCCTCTATGTTTTCTTAGTGAGACTCAAATCTATCTTTCTAGCTGGGCTAAAACAACTTGAAAGCAGAGATCAACCACACATGACACATGTCTGCTTGAGTTCTGTATCCTCCAGTCATCAAATGCCTGACACACAATAGGAATTTAGTAATAATGCATTTGAACATGTATGTTCAATGAGAGGTTTCACAAACAAAATCTGATAAAATCAATAATAAGTAGGTCCTAAAATGATGTTTTGGAAAACATAAATCATTTTAAAACTACTTGCAAAATTTCCTTAATGTTACACATTTACATACATTTCTTACTTGACTTACCAGTTGGCGTATCAGAGAAATTTGTACTCTGGGATAAGCCGTGTCCTATAATTAAAATAAACAATACAATGTAAGTGAGGTAAATGAAGCCATCCTTGATATTCAATATTGAATGTTGATAGGCAACAGAAATGTTTTGAAAAAATATGGAAATTCAAATTTTCAGTTCCCCACAGTGAAAAAAATAAGAAAAAGCAACACTCAGGCTACCTCTCATCTTTTACTTTATTATTATGGGGGTGGTGTGCTCACCACTGCATACACATGGAGGCCAGAAGACAATTTCATGGAGTGGCCAGTGCCTTCACCCACTGAGCCGTGCTGCCAGCCTTCTGGTTTACTGCTCTGAAATGCATCTTACCATGCTTGTGGACCTCATGCTCTTCAAGATCATCATTCTCTCCTCTGTCCTCAGCATCATCTTCAACTTGACGTCTGGGCTTTGGCTGACTCCACTCTGTGGCAGTATTACTGTAACTAAAGGATAATAATAGTCAATAAAGAACAAATGTAAAGACCAACTTCATATTTAGAAACATAAAGGAAAATTCAAAAGGTTGTTTTTTTCTTTACCCAGCATTCAGCTGTTTTCTGAAATCCTCTTCTTCCTCCTCTTCTGCCTGAGTTGCTGCTAGAAGAGCTGCCTTCTCAACAGCTAGTTCACTAAGTTTTTGGGCCAATATTAATTTCCGAGAGCGAGACGCATATTTAATGGCTAAATTCACAGCATTCTGAGTCATTAAATCAGCAAGTTCCACACAGCGAAATTCTCGCTCCAGTTTACAAGAAAGCTAACCAGGAGGGGGGGAAAAATCTTGTTAAGTAAAACTTCTTAAAACACTGATATTTAGCAAAACAGAAAGCAGTCTTCTGGATAACTATCTCACCGATTCTAAGATGTCCATTTTTTGTACATTTTAATGCTTATGAAATTGAAGTTTCTTACAATTAATGGTGGATTGGTGTGATTGGGAGCATTTTTCTCACAGTGGCTTATAAATAATGGCACACTTATAATCAACAGTAGCTTAGATTTAATTGAAACATGATGATACATTTCTTTTTTTATATTTTATGTATCTTATTTTTATTTTTTACGTGTATGAGTGTATTGCCTGCCTGCATGTGTGTGAGTGCATCCCTGTCTTGTGACACCCAAGGTCAAAAGAAGGCACTGGATCCCTTGGAACAGATGGCTGTTAGCTGTCATGTGGGTACTGGAAATTGAACCCTGGTCTTCTGCAAGAGCACTCAGTACTCTTAACCACTGAGTTACCTCTCTAGCCCCATATGATACATTTTAAGCTGTTAACTGCATGGCAAGATATTTGTTCGAAATTTAAATGTGGTTCTCTTAAATTTGTTTTCCAGCTGCCATCCACTCCAATAAGGCGGGGAATTCAAAGAAACAAATTACTATTATTATTATTGAGAAAGGGTCTCCATGTAGCCCCAACTGGCCTGGAACTGTCATGTAGTCCAGGCTGGCCTTGATCTTGCAGAGAACCACCTGCCTCTAGGATTAAAGAAGCACACTACCACACCCAGTAGAAATAATTTTTTTTTTTTTGGTCTTTTGGAGACAGGGTCTCCAAACTCAGAGATCCATCTGTCTCTCTGCCTCCCAAGTGCTAGGATTACAGACATGCACTACCATGCCTGGGGTGAAATAAATCATTTTTAAAAAAATCAGCCGGGCGTGGTGGTGCACGCCTTTAATCCCAGCACTTGGGAGGCAGAGGCAGGCGGATCTCTGTGAGTTCAAGGCCAGCCCGGTCTACAAAGTGAGTTCCAGGACAGCTGGGGCTACAGGGAGACCTTGTCTCAAAAAGACCAAAAAATAATAATAATAATAATAAAATAAAATAAATCAGTTACTACTAAGTGCATTTGGGTGAAGTAGACATCCTTAAAATTTTAAGTATGATATTGTCTATGATCTCCAACTATCAGAAACAGATATACAACTTCTAAATTAACACACATTTGCATTTTTTATACTTATAAAATGAAGGGCATTCTTTCAACATGTCTTAGAAAATCCTAGTCCTTTTGGGTTTGAATTTTGACAATTCAAGATGAAAGAACTCATGTTTAAAGTGAGTTCTTGATAGTCCAAAGAAGACTAGGTAAGGGTTTTATAACTGACAGCAGACAAGAGTTTTGGAATTTACATGCCCTGTATCTGACCTGGGAGCATAGATGCAAACTCCACATATTCACATGGATATCCTCAAGATTTCTGATATAATTAATTTAGGAGTTTCTTTTTCTTGGGGGTGGGTCTTTTGAGATAGGGGACCGGATCTCCCTGTAGCCCCGGCTGGCCTGGAACTCACTGTGTACAGCAGGCTGGCCTTGAACTCACAGAGATCTGCCTGCCTCTGTCTCCCAAATTGTGGGATCAAAGGCATGAGCCCCCCCCAGCCCAGCAGCAGTAGTGCTTCTTAATCAAGGTGGAACTCTGCCTTAGGGGCAGTTAAAAATGAAAGGGCCCATTCTGGTTCCTGTAGTGCCTAGACTGACTAAGCATGGTCACTTTCCTCAGTTTGACAGTCCAGTCCAGTCCAGTCTAAGACCAGAAGAGAAGATGTGGTATCATACTTCTTTCAATAAACCAACTTGGGGTGAGGACACAGCAACTTTAAGACACGCTGCTCCAAAGACGAATGCAGTGAAGTGCCCAAGGCACCACACCTGGCCACTGATGACGAACTCTTGCTACACACAGCGGTCTAAACCAAAGAGGACAGCAAAGGGCCATCCTTAGGGGAACCAAAACCCTAAGGTAATTCTGAAAACTGCCCAATCCTGGAGACCTAAAAACAGCCCACACCTCAACTTCGTGGAACATAAGACCAGGAGACACAGTGGCCCTCAAACTTCACATAATTTAAGTCACCTGGAGCTCCTGCTAAGGCATAGTGGGTGGTCAAAGAGACACAGCACAGCAAAGCCTATTTCTGTGTATGATCATAGCTACAAAGAAATATTTCCAACATTTTAAATTTAACATCAAGAGGGAAACAGAATTTTCTTTTTCTCATCTTTTTGAGACAGGGTCTCCCTATAGCCCCAGCTGTCCTGGAACTCACTATGTAGACCAGGCTAGCCTCAAACTCACAAAGAT